GGGAGAAAGGTGGATGCTGCATCACTAGGTTGTGTTACAGAACCAACTTTCGAAGTTACCTCTGTATTAGTTCACTAGTAAGTTGAAAACACTTCAACCGTTTCGTAGGTGAAATGTCTCTGAAAAAAGTTCGGGTTTGGAGCCTTTTATCATAAAGCACCTAGGCAGAATGACTAGGATAACTTTAATAGATCGAGGACATGTTTATTCAGATGGAGTGTCTAGCCGTATTCCAAGACAGAAGACTTTTAAAAATGCCGTTTCCTCGGTGGGTACCAACATACTGTTCAGAAGGACCTTGGAAGAACGTCAGGTCTTCCGACCTTCCGTCTTTGGGAAAGTTTTGTAGAACAAACCAAGATTTTCGACAGGATACCTCATTTGAAGAAGAGGCCACGGTGGAATAATACGGGTATCGAAGGCAACGAACGGAGGATTGTAGACAACAATTCGTTTTATGATTCGGATTTTGTCCGAGGATCGCTGCTTTCTGTGTAAAAACACGATTATCTTTTTTCTTGCTGCTAAAAAATAAATCACGGGAGTGAAGGATTACAGTTAACGATTAAGACTCTCTCATAAATTTGTGAATTGTACTCCATTGCAATCAATTGGTCTTTCAAAAAGTACAAGCAATATATCACTGGATTGGATTATTGTAGTTTTAACTTGGTCAATTTAACCCGCTGGTTCTGGCTTTCGTGGTGATGGTAATTTGTCCCATTCTCTCATCTGTAGTCTGCAATTTTCAATTTCCAAAGCCTTCTCACGGTCATCCTTCTTCTTATATGCACATGTACTTATATCAGGAGCTTCATGCCAAATCTTCTTGACCGGCATAAAACAGGGTACTTTGCCAATTTATTTAACGCGTGTATTCACAGGTTTATTGGCACCTTCTGGAAATGTGCTCGAATAGGTATGTTCTGTCTTATCGAAGTTTTATTTTCTAGGTGAAAGAAAGAGTCCATATGTGGCGTTTTGCTGCTTGGCTATGGCTGTTATGATTCTATTCAGCGACTAATACTGCACGTGGCATTTACGATCGATGTTCAAGTTCTGTGCTTTGTATTTGCTGTGCAATAAAGGATACTTGTCTTCTAATTCTTCTGCGTTTTTTTTCCATTTTTTATGAAAAAATATTAATTTTTATTCTCAATAGCTGGATGTTGGGCCGCAGTATTTTACGCTTCGGTAGGCAGATAATCTGCAGAGGGCCGTTGAGAAGGGCAAATACTATGCCGGATCCCTACCGGGAAAGATACCGCCCATCTATGGACCCAATAATCATTACTGGATTCTTCCTGGTTACAGTACCACTTTTGTGGATAGCCAAGGACATCGCGCTTGGTGTTGACCAGACCCCAAAACGCACTGAATAAACTTACTCTCCCTGTTCTGTCAGATTGTACTTTTTAGAAATACATTTTAGAACTAGGCCTTTGTTGGTCGATTTGTCCGCGACTTTCTTTTTATTATAGTTTTGAATATCCTTCCGAACTTTGATCTGATTATCGTGTCAAAACTTCAGTATCTAGCACCTTGGTTGACCTAGTCTTCTGTCTGTTTTGAAGTTAATTCTTATTGCCGGAGTTCACGCCATTCGGTATCGTGAGAAATATACTAGACCCCTGACTGTTTTAGTACTATGGGGGAGGGAATTTTTTGCTGCCGTTTATTATAAGTGAGCGTAATCAATGTGTACATAGTTTTGACATTAATTATCAATCTGAATGTATGAGATCTTCCAGCCGGTAATGTAGGAAAGGTAGGCATCACCTTTAATTATTACTAAGATTAATGTGGCGTTTTCTTCATTTACTTGTAATCGGAGCCCAAAACATACTAACCTTCAGAGGTCCTATTTTAGCATGTTGCCCTTGTTCGCAATTGGGAGCTGGTATAAAGAACTATCTAAGAGGATGTAAAGTGATTAGTGTCTGCAATATTTGTTTTGTCTACTTGCATTCCCAAGCAACCCGTTCGATAACGGCGCTATGTGCGTTCGTCCTTGTAGGTATGGCTGCTCGCATTTTGTCGGACTTCAGAGCTGGTTTTCGTTCGCTGCTTAAGCGAATCCTCGCAGCGGAAGCCTTTCACTCGACTGGAATTCGCCCCTTTTCTGTTATGCTCTCTAAGAGCCCATTGACTGAGATATCCAAGAAAAGAGCTAAATTTACGTCTAGTCACGAAAGGACGTTCTTCAGCAAGTCCATTCCCCCGGAGGCCGTGGGGCCAGTGCTCTTTGGTACAGGTTTCCTCGGTGTTGTGCTTGGGATTGCTTGGTGGATGAGACGTAAAGAATCGCAATATGCAGATCCGAACTATCACCCAGTATATGAAAAGTAAGTAAAAACTATCTTTTGTAATTCCTTTCTTTTTTTGTGACATTAATTATTGCCGATTTTGTGCGTCATCCACCTCGAACTCTGCTTTTCTGTGATTTATTTATTGCCATTTATTTTCTAGAAGACCAGCTTCCAGCTCTTCGGCAACAGCATCTGGAACTCAAGCTACTGGTATTTTCCCATTTTTTATAACACTCAATATCATTAATTGGTTTGTACAAGTGTCGTAGTAAATCGTACCAACATATGTTTTTCCTGTATTCGGTTTCGATTACTCTTCTGGCTATTAATTAAACGGTCGAATTTAACTTACTCGAGTTGGTTTCAGTATTTTGGCTGATTGCGACTTGCAACCTCTTCCACAGCCACAAACACTCCAACGCCTTCTGCGTCAACACTTCCTTCTCATGTGCAGCATGTGATAATTGGTGCCGGAGCTGCAGCCATATCTGCCGCGCGAACTATCCGTGCCTCTGATCCTCTCGCTAAGGTTTTGATGATCGCCGGTGACGCATCAACCGGGGAAGCTCCCATTGAGGAGACAGACGGTCAGACGCCGCCACCTTATATCCGCCCACTGCTTAGTAAAGGTCTTTGGTGGCGAAAACCAGAAAGGAGGAAGCAGATGCTGGCCGCCGAGGGAGACATCCGCAAGCACTCATGGCTATTCTACGAACCTCTCAGTTTTTTCGTGGAGCCCTCACAGTAAGTGACTTAGGTTGACACAAATTTTGAATGTTTCATATACCTATATATTTTCACTTTCAAGGAACAGTAGATTGCCCATTTCATGAAATGTCAACCGAACTTTCGATTCCAACACATTTTTACGTAGGGTCGTGATATTTATAATCCTTCAGCCTGATCTCAAGATATTCCTGTCTTCTAAGGATTCCTGTTTTTGAGCGAGCTTATTCCTGGCCGCTTGCAAGAGCAAACTGTAAAATAATTGCTACTTAAGTATTATGCATTTTTCTCACTGAGTGTAAGAACTGGTTGACGAGTTCTCATGTAACTGTAGACGCTATTGACCTTTTCGTTTTGCAGCTCGAATAACTATTAAAACTGTTGATCTATTCGTTT